GAAACATTTCCAAACGATTTTTCTGAGAGTCTTAACTTCATATCAAGCAAGAAAGAGGGGCCTTTCCACCATAAGTCTAAATCGATAACATCCTGTATTGGGACACCACGAGAGGGCAAATCAGCTGGGTTGTCAGCGGATTTGACATGTCTCCAAATACATTCCTTTGTAAGATCTTGTATTTGTGCTACACGGTTAGCAACAAATACATTCCAACGAGAAGCATGAGAATTCACCCAGCATAGAGCTACTTGTGAGTCAGACCAAAGATTTACAGAATCAACCTTAAAACGACCATCGAAAACTGATTTAGTAGTTTTCTAACCAATTGGGAGAGCAACAGCATAGCACATAACTCCAAACGTGGAAGAGAGACAGTTTTGATAGGGGCAATCCTAGATTTTGAAGAGAGAAGGGTGCAAGATACAGCACTATCTATGTATATTACTCTAATGTAAACACATGCTGCATAGGCTTGCATACTTGCGTCTGAAAAACCATGAAATTCAATTTGTTTAATTTTCTTTTCCAAAAATAAATATCTGGGTATTTTCAGATTTTTGAGCAGAGGTAAATTTTCAATAAAATGAGTCCAATTTTGTATAATTGACATGTCAGTAATGGGACTATCCCAATCTAGTTTCAACATCCAGAGCTTCTGAATAATCAATTTCCCAGAAACTATAACCAATGATAAAAAACCAAGGGGGTCATAGCACTGAGCCAAAGTAGATAATATTTTTCTTTTTGTGATTGGCGGTGTGAAGGAACTTTCAGGGATTGAGACACAGAAAAAATCAGCAAAGGGGTTCCATTTCAATCCTAAAACTTTACTTGGAAAATCATCAAAATTAAGATTTCGTTCAGGAATTTTCTCTTGGGAAATTTTGTCAAAAAAATTGCTTGAATTTGAACACCATTTGTGTAACTGAAAACCATGAGTATTTAAAAGAGTATTTAATTGAGTATATAGAGTTTCCAAGTCTGAGTAATTATCAACACCTCCAAGACAATCATCTACATAGGTCATTTTCAAGAGAGCTTCAAAAGCTAGAGGATTTTGAATGACATTATTTTGAGCCATTTCATGCAAAACTCTTGTTGCAAGAAAAGGGGCACAATTAGTGCCATAGGTGACAGTTGAGAGTTCAAAACATTTCAGAGTTTCCTGAGGACTATTCCTCCATAAAATGTTCAAGAGGTATCTTTGTTCTGGATTTATCAGAATTTGTCTATACATTTTCTGTATATCAGAGGTGAGCACATATTTGAAAGAGCGAAAACGACAGAGTATGTCATAGAAGTCTGGTTGAACCTGATAGCCTTTAAGAGTGACATCATTTAAAGAATATCCTGAAGAAGTTTTACATGAGGCATCGAATACTACACGCAGTTTTGTAGTGACGCTATCCTCCTTTATAACTGCGTGATGGGGCAGAAAATACTTAGGTTGTGAGTAGCAGTTTGTCAAAATGAGAGGAACAAACCTTCCATGTTCGAGGCTTTCATACTCGTCAATGAAATTTTTATAATCAGAAAAATACCTTTTGTCCTTAGCAAATCTTTTTTCAAGATTGAAAAATCTTTTCCTTGCCATGGAAAAAGAATCACCAAGCTTCAAATTTTCTTTAGGAGATTTTAAGGGTAAGTCTACTTGAAAAACACCATTTTCCAATATCTTCGTGCTTTTCATGAATAGACTTTCTGCCTCTTCATCTTCAAAAGAACGCGGAATATTTGGGGAAATGTCCTCAAGTGTCCAAAATCTAGAGACCATTTTTTCAAGAGGGGTTTCGTCGAGGGTTTCATTTTTGGTTTGAGCTATAAGAGAAACACTTAAATGTGACATCAACATATTATCTTGAGATACATTAAGAGAGAAAGGACCACCAATGACCCATCCAAGGTAAGTATTGAGTAGTATAGGGAGGTTTTTTCCTAACCGAACTATACCATTAGCCAATAATTCATAATACACATCAGCACCCAGCAACAAATCTACATCTGAAGGGGTAGAGAAAGAGACATCTGCAAGAGGCAAATTTGAGGGTATATTCCAAGAGTCCGTATTTATTTTGTTTTGGGGTAATTTACAAGTGATTTCTGTTAATATTGCACAGGAAACTTTGAACTTTCTGTGAGAGTACACATTTGAGTAGAGCGTTACATCAACCATTTTATTTGAAATGCTATTGCTCAGTGCAATACCTGAAACAGAAGTTGTTTTAGTATAGGAAATGTAATTTAATTTGTTGACGAGTTTGTGAGTGACAAAAGAATTTTGAGAGCCATTATCCAAAATTGCTTTAGCTTGTATACAATTTCCCTGGGCATCATAAAGAGAGACACAAGCAGTAGCTAATAAAACGTGGTTATTTCTAGTAGAAGCTGACAGAGATAGAGAGTCTTGCGAAAGTGCACTAGAGTTGCACGAAGAATTACCTTTGGAAGATTTAGGAATAGCACCATTTTGTGAGGGGGACAAAAATCCATTGTTTTCATTTAATCGAGTTTGACTGTTACATTTATTTTTATCAAATTTAGGCGGGTTATTATTAGAGACATTTTGAGCACCTTCTACCCGAGCTTCTAGTCTGTTATTTTGATGAGAGTGCAACATGCTATGGTGTTTCTTAGAGCAAAAAGAACAAACGTTAGTAGATGAGCACTGAGCCACTGCATGAGCAGTTCCCAGACAGTTATAACACAGTTTTTTAGAACCTACAAAGTTTCTCTTGTCTGCAATAGATGCATTTTTGAATTTGTTACAAGAATAAATTTTATGAGTATTTTCATTGCAATAAGAACACTTTGCATGTTCACTGTTTTGTGATGCGAATGCATGAAGAGAGGTTTTTAACTGAGGTTTTGTGAATTTTGGTGTAAATTGTACACCCGTACTATTTAAGTTTTCCAACACTATACATCTTTTTTCTAAAAATTCAAAAAATTCTGAAAGTTGAGGTAATTCATCCAGATTTCTCTCAGTTTCAAAGGCTCTTCTTGTACCAAAATCTATCTTTTTTCCTAACAAATATAACAAGATAAAGTCTAACAATTGTTCACATGAATAATTTAAATTATACAACGAGTCTAAATTTCTCTTACAATTGGTTGAAAATTCCCTGAGAGCTGTTGAGGTGCATTTTGTGAGTGAAGGCACTTCCAAGAGAGACACTAAAAGAGTATTTATTACAGAAAGCTTATTTTCGTATCGTTTCTGCAGAATTTCTAAGGCTGTATCAAAATTATCATTTATAACTATTAAATTTTCAATTAATTTTAATGGTTCATCCCGCAAAAATTACTTCAGATAAATAAATTTCTGTATTTTTGAGAGGCTCTGATTTTGAATTATTAAAGCATCAAAAATTTGATAAAAAGGTAGCCATTCTGAAATATCACCTTTGAATGGTTTGATATGAATGTCAGGTAATTTCACATCAATTTTAGGAGAAGGAGCCACAATAGTTTGTTGTACAGGGTGTGCATTAACGCTTGGGGGAAAGGGAGAAAAACATAATTTTTTAATTTTATCTTTGATAATACCACACTTTTGATGAACAGAGTTTTCAATGAAATCACGATCCTCATTATCAAGGGTTTCATCAGCAGGAAGAGCATCTATCCTGTCTTGTATATTTTCATATGCATGAAAAGTATTTTTTAAATAATCATACTTTTCTGAGAGCTCTCCTACTTCAGCCTTATCTGCTGTTTGGAGCCAATTATTAACTCTTGTTATTTTACCCTTGATAATGGTTCGTTGTATTTTCAATTGACTATAATCTAAATCTAAAAAATTTTCAGGAAAGTTAGACATTTTAAAATGTTTATCAATGTTCAACTGCTTACCACTTTTTTCAGGTTACCACAAGATTCACCAAGTACTCACACATTTTCCATAAGTCTCTGAGTACTTCTTGGAGTTGAGTTCAAAGTTCTATTGCTTGTCAATAGAATAAGGCACACACAAGTCAATGGTATAACACAGCAAAATGTTCAAGATTCTCTCCAAACTTATGCCATCCGGCTCGAAGGACCAATGTTTTGAATGGAACAATCTTTTCTTGAGAATTGTCAATCCAAAGCTAGGGTGGATCTTACCTATTTGGTTTTCAATCCAGCAGAGGACTCCATATGTGGCTTTGTTCAATTTAATAAATGGCTTTTTAACATGTTGCACTCTGCAAATATTTCGCTTTCTGTATGCAATGGGAATTTAGGTTGAGGTTGGAAGGCGATACTGGGAAACTTCACAAAACAGTGCTCTTTTCAATCATGGGGTAATTCTTCGTGCAATTAGGGCCAATTGGGTGTTGTGCATTTTGCGCAGCTTTCGCCTTCAGTGAAAGCGTTGGGAGCTTTTTCAAAAACTTCTTACTTTTTTTTATTAATTTTTATATTCTGGTTAACAACGAATCAACAACGGGCTATAGTAACTAGAAAAACAAAAAAAATCGCCGAAAAACACCAGCATGACCATCCACGCCATGCTTGTTTTTTCGTGACAGAATGCAAAGAACGTAATGAAAATACAAACGTGAACGCCCTCTATTATTAGGAAAGAAAATTATGCAATGGCATCTTCTTTTTCAAATATTTCAAAATAGTTGCGGATGTTTCCGCAACAGGTCAATATGAACCCAGTATATTTACACAAAGACGAAGCTGATTGGGAACTCACGATTAGAGGAATTTGCACCAAGAACTTAGCAAATCGAGAAGTCAAAGTCTCAATACTTCGAGGTCATCTCGCTTGTGAAAAGGAGAAAAATATCATCTATCCGGAGGTTCCAATGAATTTCAAGGATGAAGTGGAGATATGTAAGACTAAAATTTCATTAATGTCAAACTTGGTAAATTAATTTTTTTCTGATAATGGTCATCCTGACTATAAACGTTTTAAAACTCGATTGTTACATTTATCCTCTCGTATTAATTATTTGAAACCTTATGATAATTCATCGGCTATGAGAGCACAACTTATTTCACAAAATATGATTTTAATTGACAAGCTTGAGGAAAGAACAAATGTCAAAATTCCAATTGTAAATCAAGTAAATTCAACTGTAAAGGAAATAAATTTAATTGACATCGAAAATAATGATATCGGGGCACAGTCTCAAAATGTTCCTTTCTCTGCTGAAGAATATGTTAACTCTTTTTCTGAAACTAGTTTTTCTCAAGATAATCAAAGACGCGTTAAAATAATTTCAAATGTTTTATTGAATTCACAGACACCTAATCAAGGTGATACTGATAGTAGTGATTCAGAATTAAATCTTGAGGACGATATGTTGAATATTTGTAGTTCATATTTCAAATCGTTGGAAAATGATCCTAAAACTGATAACGTTGAAAACAAAGGAACTGACTTTGTTTATCCTTCATTAAAGGGTTATAACTTTGATAGGTCTCATAAAGATCAAGCTATGCCTCAGAATTTACCGAACAGTAAAAATCTTCTTAATGATGCTAACGGTCAAAATTTTGTACAGACTGAGTTCAATAAACCAATCAACAGTCAATATCCTTTTAGTGTGCCTATTGACAACAATACAAACTTCAACAGTGTTCCAAATCTTGTCAATTTTAATAGTGATCCTAACAGTTTTCAGGACTTTCAGAATTATGTGAATCCTCAATTTCAAGTACCATATCAATCAGGACAAAATAATCAATTTTTCAGACCACCCAATTTTCAAGGTTTCAACTACCAATCTCAGTTTCCCGAGCAGTTTCCTCAACATCGTTATGTTCAGCCTTCAAGATTTCCAAATTTTCACAGTTCCAATTTGCAATCTCAATATCCTAATTTTGCTCAACATAGTTCTCATTATTTCAATAATTCTAGAATTCCAGCCTTCGATAGAATCAATTTAAAGTTTGGTGGTAAAGGTCAAAGTCTACACAGTTTTCTGGAAAAGGTGGAAGAATTTTCTCTGTCTCATAGAATTTCTAGGGAGCACTTGCTCAATTTTGCTCATGAATTTTTCGAAGGAGATGCATTAATTTGGTATCGATCAATCAGAAGTCAAATTTTCACTTGGAATGATTTAATTTACAGATTGCGTTTGGATTTCTTACCTGTAGATTTCGAAGTAGCTTTTTGGGATGAAGTTCGTGCGCGTACTCAAGGTAGTAATGAGAGGCCCTTGATTTATATTGGCATCATGGAAAATTTATTCAAACGATTTATCAACCCTGTTGATGAGGGTACACAACTTCGACTCATTATGAGAAATCTTCTGCCATATTACCAACAGCAACTGGTCTTACGTCAACCTATCTTACTTCTAGAACTAAAAAGTCTTTGTCGTATTTTGGAGGATACCAAACTGCGTTCCGAATCATTTCAAGGTCCACCCTTGTGTAATACTTCCACTCTTGAACCTGAACTTGCATATAGGAGGGATATTTCTGATAACAACCATCATGTGAAATTTCAACACTCGAATAAGCCAAAATTTGGAACAAACGAAATAAATATATCACAACCAAGTGTTAGTTCTGAATCACAAGATGATTTAGTTAATTTTGAAGCTCAAGATAACTGCCTAAAAATTGATAATCAAAACTCCAAAGTGGAGGTTTTGAATTTGGCTTCTACTAAGTGTTGGAATTGTGATCAAATGGGTCATGCATTTCCAAGTTGCAAACTGAAAAGAAATGTGTTCTGTTTTAGTTGTGGAAAGAAAAACATAACAAAACCAAAATGTCCAAATTGCAAGTCAAAAAACGGAGATCAGGCAATTTCAAATTCGGTAGAAGTTGCCACGAAACAAAGTTAAAATCCGAATCTTTTTTCTCAAGGGAAGATTGGTCCTTATGGCTCAATAAAGTACAGCAGTTCCATAAAACTAAAGAAATTTCTCCTCTATTTTTGAAAAAGTCAAATATCGACTCCAGACCTTATTTAAATATTAAAATTGGCCAATCCTGTTTTATTGCTCTTTTGGATACTGGAGGTATGCAATCTGCGGCCGGATTATGAACATCCGATACGGAAAGATTCCGAGTCGAAGGTAAACTCGCAGCGTATACGCATCGTATTGAACGGAAAAGCGATTACGAACACACAAATCGGCTTTAATCAGCTGTCCGCGATTACAATGGTAGAATGCGAAAGCTCTTGCTGGAGGTGACGTCAGCTGCAGTCCTTTAGTGTTGCGTTTACTATGTAAATGCATCATTCATCATTAAATGCATGGAATTGATGGGCAACTTGCAGTGTTTTTATGGATTATGATTATGAATATCTAAAGATTGCAACCATCTTTCACTTTATATTTTGATATTTAAAAATACAAAAATTAAATCATTATAGCAACCTTGTGTTTTTTGACAAACAGAGAATCATATTAGGTAATTATGAAACATTTGGCCAAGGGTGATTTTTATAGTATATAAAAGCCGTGTGCTTTATGGCATAAACTTTCTAATTATACCTTTCTACACGTAGATTTTCTTTTCATATTTGTTGGTAAATTTGGCTTATAAACAGGGTTGCCAGACGTCCCACCTTAAGCCTAGTACTCATAACTGCGAAATTCGTACTTTTTTGACATTGCTTCGACAATTTGACGTTTGATTCACGCAAAAAACGTCAAATTTTTGACGCAATGTCAAAAAAGAGCGAATTTCGCAGTTATGAGTACTAGGCTTTAGGAGGGACAGTCCCGCATTTTGTTAATCGGTCCCGCCTTTTTTTTATTAATTTCAGGTCCCGCTTTTCACGTGAATTGTCCCGGTTTTCCCGCTTTTTCCACCCAATCTTCACATTTAGTGCAAAAAAACGCTCATTTTACAACTTGTTACATAAACAGCTATTTCTACATTTAAAATCGACGCAAAAATCAAATAACGAGCCTGAATCGCAAGCATTTCATTGAGGTCTGCGGGTGACGTCACCACTATTAGTTGCTGACGTGGTGACGTCACTCGCAGGCTATGTGGCAAAAACCATTATAACATGTTCATAGAAAAAGTTTTACTCGTCTAAAATCATTTTTTGCAACCTGAAAACACTACCAAACTCGGCACCGCCTCGTTTGATGCTGTTTTCGTCACGCGTTAATCAATAGTATATTGTGTATTTAGGTGGAAAAGTGACACATTCTCGGCCGACGGTGTAAGTTGACGGGCGAGGCGTAGCCGAGTCCGGCAAACACCGAAGGCCGAGAATGTGCTTTTCCACCGAAATACACATACTATTTTTTCTGAGATCGGTTAAATATCTGTTGAACGTTTGTATTTTTGTTCCAATTGTTCAGCAGTACCAGAATCACTTTTCCGGCCTAGGCCGGAAAAGTGATTCTCGTATTGTTATTTATTGATTCCTTAGCAACTATTGAAACATAATTAAAATACCAGAATATTGAGTTTTGCGACCTGTCAACCGGTCAAAAATGCTGACATTTCTTGTCAATCGCAGAAAATAGTATATTTTTTATTTATATATATATATACAGGGTGAATCTGAAAGTGAGGGTTTTTTTTTAACAGGGTATATATCTCGCCAAAATAAGTTGTTTGGCAAAAAATTGTTTATATAAAAAATTTAAGATAACGGAGTTACAGGTATTTTTAGGTTTTTGTACAATAAAAATCTAATTCCAAAAATCGAAGATTTATTAAAGAAAATAATATAACAATTATCACAATAATTGTTCAAAAGTATCCCCATTTGTCTGATGTGCGCATAGTGTTGCTCGGCGAATCCAAGACTCAGTGCAAGCTTGTAGAATGAAATTTTCGCGTCCTCGAATTGTTTCACTTGCATTTTGGATTCGATTACGTAGCTCTTCCAAAGTATTTATTTCTGAGGCGTAAACCAAACTTTTCATGTACCCCCACAGATAAAAATCACATGGGTTAAGGTCCGGCGACCGTGGAGGCCAAAAAATTGGTCCATTTCGTCCCACCCACCTATTAGGAAACTGACGATTTAGGTAATGTCGAACTCGACGACTAAAATGGGGTGGAGCACCATCGTGTAAGAACCACATTACTTGACGTATGTTTAAATTCAAATCTTCTAGCAATACCGGTAAATTACGTCGCAAAAATCTAAGATAGTTTGCACCTGTCATCCTATCTGGTAGAAAAAAGGGGCCGATAAGCATGCCATCAATCATTCCAGCCCAAACGTTAAGAGAAAACCTTTGCTGGAAGTTAGTTCTGCGAACAGCATGCGGATTATCCATTGACCAAACATGAGTATTCCGAAAATTGCTTACACCGTTTCTCGTAAAAGTTGCTTCATCGGTAACTAAAACATGTCTCGTAAAATGTTCGTCATGTTCATGTTGTTGTAAAAGCCATAGACAAAACTGCACTCGCTGGGGATGATCACGGGGCATTAGGGCTTGAACACGTTGGACATGATAGGGATACAATTGCTCCTGTCGTAGCGTGTGCCAAACTTTCATTTGACTGACACCCACCCGTCTTGCAATTTCTCGTGAACTAGTTGTGGGATCATCGTCAATCAAATTAATAATTTCCTCTTCAACTGCAAGCATTTGACGCGGTCTACCCCTTCCAGCATGTCTTCCCCGATTTTCCCGTAATTCTCCATAATCTCGAGCCCTCTGAATTAGACGCACAAATGCAGCTGGTTTGGGGTGGATACGTAATGGAAAACGTTCAGAATAAGCACGCGAAGCTGCAGCAGCATTTTGATGGCATTCGCCGTAAATTAGGATCATATCCACCAACTCATTGTTCTCGTACACATGTGCCATTACAAGGAAACAACACAAATTGAGGCAATCACAAAAGGAAAACTATTTTTGATGTCTGATGAATGCCACTTTTATCATAAATGCTGGAAGTCATACACACATTTCCTTTTTGGACAAGTTATTTTATGTAGCTAATGCGCCACCGATATACCATTTGTTTACATTTTTTTGTGCCGCGGTTTATTGTGACAACGGGTTTTTTTTGCACCTTTTTTTTGAGAAAATGTAAACAAAATGTTTTATAGTTGGAGTCTTCTTTAAACCTAAAAATACCTGTAACTCCGTTATCTTAAATTTTTTATATGAACAATTTTTTGCCAAACAACTTATTTTGGCGAGATATATACCCTGTTAAAAAAAAACCCTCACTTTCAGATTCACCCTGTATATATATATATATATATATATAGTACAACGGTCGAAATTTGATCGTGGCGCCATCTAAGACAAAACCTCAACACCAAGCAGCAATTTTCGCTGCAATATGGTGACTGAGAATCTAATCGGCCGACCAAAATTCAGTTCGTGGGAAAACCCAGAATAGGAAAACCTATTATCCACTGATGAGAAAATATTTGGTCGGCCGATTAGATTCTCAGTCACCATATTGCAGCGAAAATTGCTGCTTGGTGTTGAGGTTTTGTCTTAGATGGCGCCACGATCAAATTTCGACCGTTGTACTATGTATATATTGCCTACAAGCACGAAACTTGGTTTGGTTTTCTTTGCTTTTCCTAGCCATACTGATGAGACCTGATAGGTCGAAACGCGTCTATGGATGGAAAAGCATAGAAAATCAAACCAAATATTTTTTTATATATATATATATATATATTTATATATTTTTCCCGTCATGAATTTTTTTATTTATCGTTTCATTCCTTTATACTTCAATCATTCGCCTTAATATACAAATAACAATAACCTGTAATAATACTGCTAAGATCTAACAAACGAAATTTGGGCGTGGCTCCAAAAAAATTGTTGCGCTTTTGCTCAAGGGGGTCCATAGGGGGGGGACACATTGGGCACTTGCCCCTCCCCTTATGCTTTTGGGCTGGATAAAAACAGTCCCGCTTTTTCATTTCATAGATCTGGCAACCCTGCTTATAAATAATATAATCCATTCTAATTATCGTTCTAAGCTTGCAAAAATTTAAATTAAATGGTGATTTTTTTTCCGTTTTGAATATTTATCTTGCCAAGTTTTGTACCATTTCTTGTCTTTCTCAAAAGGAATCACCATGGTGGAATTGGAAATAAAAGTTTCATTTTCAATTTTTTTCTAAATTATTATAATATCTAAACGTCCAAACTTAATTTACTTTCAAGAATATGCAATTGTTTGATGCTATTGATGCTAGTCATGTCATAATTATAACACTAGAGCAAATAATATTTGTTTTCCGAGGCACGGCTTAACATTATTGGGAAAAAGTCCATGTGACATGGGAATAAAACTTTTCAATAAACTAAGCAATGAATTAAAAATAGACAGAAGAAAAATTGTTTAATAGTAAACTGAAAAAGATACTTATTGTGTTGGAAACATATAATAGGTAGTATACAAGAATATTTTAATGATACATACAACATACATATAACTGGATATAAAATAATATAATAATTGTTCTGAGTAGGATTATAGGTGTAAGGTCTTTTTTGTAACGCTATTTCATTTCATGGTTTACGTGTATATTTTTATGTATGTTACATGTTACTGTAATCTGAAATAAAGTTAAAAATAAATAAATAAAATAACACTGGACACAACGATTTTTAAGGTCAATTGAAATGCTCTGTTTTAAATAAAAACAATACCGTCGAGGACTGCGACTGACGGCACGTGACGTCAGTCGCAGTACTCGATTATCGTTATATTGGCGAACGTAATGTCTTATGGCCATGGGCCCGACTCGTCTATCTAGGGTGGATGCTCGCATGTATGTACCATTATTTTTAATGAAAACCATGTATAAAAACACAAAAAAAAACAAAACGAAGCAAAACGCACCCGTCGCACCCCAATACCTAATGGCAATAAT